ATGAAAAAAAAAAAAAAAAAATTGTTTTTGTTTTTTGTAAATCAATTTGAATTGGAAGGTTTTTCCGTTAGAATTGGTGAATTACGCCATCCACAAACAAGCTAGTAAGGCATTGTGAATTTGTGACAACAAATTCAACAAAAAGTTAGGATTAGTTATGAAAAAAAGTCTTGTCCCAAGAAAAGAAAAAAAAGGTGCTAATTAATATTTATCATTTGTGTGGTTGGACGCCTACTTTTCAATAGATTATCAAGACTTCTATTGCATAACAAAGCAGATTACCTATTTCTAAATCCTAATCAACAAACGCCCCTTTTTATTTCTCCAGATTTTCTACGTCCGCACTTCATAACAATAAATCAAAACACAAAAGGTCAACAAAAATTAATTTTATTTTTATATTTTGGCAGCCTGGAATTAATTTGCAAATTTTACATGGCACAATGTAACGATTTTTTATTATTATTATTATTGTTTCAATTAACAATTTAAAGTCTACAGGTTTGTATATTGTAACCAACATTCAAAAGAATTAATCTTATTTTCAAATTGGTTTGGTAGATATTCCTAAGTTGGTCTCATTTGACCGATTTAATGTTGCCAAGTGAAAAACTTTATGCTACTCCTATAAAATCAACAAACTTATATATATAAATATATATATATATATATATATATATGTATATGCAAGGTCGTGTTTAAATAAAAAAATGTCTTATGAAAACTGTGATCATACTATTTTTAATTATATATGATCCTATTTTTACAAATATGCTACTACATAGTGTTGTTGTATTCACAATTAAAAAACATAATTAAAAATAGGACCAAACACAATAAAAATAATATTTAACACAATTTAAAATAACGTTCTAATGGTTCTCATATTAAAACTTGGTTCTCATACAATTACATATAATTTTGTTTTTACAGTCAAGGCCAAGTATTGTTTTCCAGCCACTATTATATAAGTGGAAAGAGAATGAATTTAGATTCAATAATTCATGAACATGTTAGAAAAAATACGAATGGTACTAATTGTTGAATATTCATGAACATGTTATAGCAACGTATGTTTAAAAAAAAATAATAAAATAAAATTAAATACCTGGCTGCATGAATCATCGTAGCAGCATCATGTAGAAATATCGAGAAAAAAATTACGATCTCGAGCATTGAACGCCTAATTCGACTCTTGTTCATGTTTGCCGCCATCCACAAATTATCTTCAAAGATAAACAACAATGGTGTACCAGATTAAAGCCCTTTTATTCACTAGATAAGAGAAAATAATTATTCAAAAAAAAAATATATTTTTCTACCATATAATTAAGAAAATAAACACGTACGAAATTTTTACTCGTCCAATTCAAAAAAAAAAAAAAAGGTTAAAAAGCAGAGAAAAAAAAAAAGCACCGTACCTTGTGGAGAGAACAAAATTGAACAAGGTCTATCACAAAAGCTTTAAGCTGGTTTTAATAGCTTCTTTTATTAACTATTAACTTTTGAATTCAGTTTTGGTTGACTAAACTCGTCCAGCAAAATAAGTGGATGATGGAGCAGTTCGAATTCTGGCACTAAATCTATACTTTTAATTTGAGTAATAAAGGCATATATATTACACCAAATACTACTAGGATTATTATTAATGTGACTATTAAAACCCGTGTTTTTACGTCTTTCAAGTTCAATATATATATAGGATAGGAAAAGAAAACCGAAAGATAGTGAGGTGGTAAACGAAATTGAACATAGACTATAAAACGTTGACGTTTCAATTTATGTATTAGGTTTTTTAGGTATATTAACAGTTGAGAAAACGTTTTATTATAATGTACTTTCTACTTGATGAACATGTGTATTTTGAAGCCTTAATTAAGTAAATTTAAGCAATTAGGTATGATTGGGTAGAAAACAAATACGCATTCGATACTATACTTATTTATATTGCAGGGATAAAATGCAATTTATTTGATATGCCAATTTTGGCAGTTTATAGGCCACTAATTTTTTGGGAGCATAATTTGGAACATTATTGGCTTTTATTTTGTATAGATTTCATCATAGTAGGGTATAAATTTACATTTTTTCACTAATTTTGGACAAGATGTATGTGTCAAAAATGACGACTGGAACTATATATTGAACATAATTAAAATAAACAAAAAAAATTAACATTGGAAGATATTAACGAAGAATAAAAATTTCTATACCAAATTGCAATTCTAAAATGCTACTGAAGAAAGACGTGAGCAATAAAAGCTAGTGGAGTAAAATTAAATTATACTTTTTTCTTATACTGCACAATAGACCAATATTCATTAAATACATAAATAAAAATAGAAATAGATCAAGTAATACTATTCGTGCAAATCTCCTATAAAATTGGACAATTGGAATTTGGAGCCAACATAAATTGAAAAACTACGACGCCTGTGAAACTCATGCGTATTTAATAAAAAAAAAAACATTATTCAATTGGAATTTTAAATGATATTTTAAGACTTTAGGTGTATTCAATTAGGATTTCTAATCAACTTTAGAAATCTTAGTGTATTCAATTAAGATTTGTAAGGATTTTTTAAGATTTTAGAAATCCTAGTGTATTCAATTAGATATGTTAATACTTTTTAAAACTTTTAAGAATCCTGAGATATTCAATTGAGATTTTAAAAAATCTTACAAAATCCTGAGTTATTTAATTTATTTGACAATAGAATTTGTTAAGACTTTTTAAAATTTTGTGGGATTTCTAAACAATAAACATTATACCAAATCTCACTCCAAATCCTACCCCTAGACTTAAAATTTCATAAAATTTTTCCAAAATCTGAAAAATTTAAAAAGTCTTAAAATGTCACTTAAATTACAATTGAATATACCCCTTAAGATTTGAAACTTTTTAAGATTTTCAGATTTTGGAGAAATTCTATAAAATCTTAAGTCTTGAGGTATGATTTGAAGTGGGATTCTATAAAATCTTAAGACTTGAGGTATGATTTGAAGTGAGATTTCGTATAAAAATTTTTTGTTAAAATATCTTAAAAAATTCTAGTGCCAAATAATTAAATTAAATACCTCAACATTTTGTAAGACTTTTTAAAATCTCAATTAAATACTCCAGGATTTGTAAAAGTCTTACAAAATCTTAACAAACTTAAATTGAATACACCAGGATTTATAAAGTTTTAAAAAATCGTTAAAAATCCTAATTGAATACAAAGAGGAGATAAAATGGACTTTTATTTGATTCGTCCTCGAATTACAACAAAGTTAGGCATCTAATGCGTACAACACCATCTCTTTCTTAATAAAAATAAATTCCTACGTTAATTTATTAAACATTAACAATTAGGAATTAGCTCTTCCTGAAATCATTTGGCAGACATAAATTTTTATACTTTATACGATTGAATGGAAGCAAACTAAAGAAAAGCACAAATTCTACAACTTTCAACATAATTTATTTTTATTTTTTATTTACCATTTTTATTTTTCTTAGGCTACGGTTTTGTAACCCATATTAATCACGATATTACTCAATGTGTTATTGTATCAATATGTTTTATTTATTTGGTAACAAACTGAAAAAGCCCATGAAATAGCGAAGGCCCGGTTTTTACTCCTGTGATTTTGTTATTGTGTATCACACTCTCTTTGCATGATGCAGTTTCACTCATCTACCTAATGTATTATTTGACCAATTTACTTTTACCTATATATGGACATCAAACAAACCACTCATCTCTTTGACTATGTTTGATAAAACCATCTGATAAGTTAGTTGATAGCTTATAAGTTAACTTATGACTTTTATATAAGTAATTTTCGAGCTTATAACTTATAACTTATGATTTATAACTGAAAAACTAGTTTATATGATAAAGTATTTTGTAGAATTAGATGATAATCTAGTTGAAATAAAAATTTTAACTAACTTATTTGAAAAGTTACCTAAAAAAACTAATGAGATAAGCTCAAGTTTTATAAAGAAGTCCGTCCTACTAAACGAAGATTATTTGAATACAAGAAGCTCCAAATAAGCTATAAACTAACTTATTTATATACCAAAGATAGCTTTTATCATTCTTTCATCTTTGGGAGTAAACCTATCTCTATATGCGGCGATTTTTAATCTCAGAATTACATAGATTCATTTTCTTATGTTAACAAAACACTCTACCTGCAATACTGAATGACCATGTAAAAATCACATTTCTCTTTTAAAATTTCATTGAAGAATGTTAAACATACAGAAAGTCTATGGAGTCATCGAATGACTCCCTTATGGAGCCATCCATACCTTTATGTATTGACACGTGTCCAATGTGTATTTATTACACGACACGTGTCAATACACCAGTTGTAGAAAACTATGGATGGCTCCATAAACCGAGCCATCCGATAGCTCAATAGCAAAACCGGTTAAACATATTTCAGATCTCTAATAATATCCCTTCACCACATTCATTATTTTTCACTTTTATTTATTTATTTATTATTTATTAAATTAAAGCAAAGTAATTAATTTTGACTCTATATATTTAGTATAGTTCTTAAAATGGATTCATTAATTAAAATCATTGTTTGTGACAGACGCTTAAAAAATTGAAATGCAGAAATTCTACATAGGTGTATTGAATTGTCACTGGTATCAGGGGATAAAATGGGAAAATAAAATTAATTAGATCGATTTCCTCTTCAATTAAACAAGTTAATAATAGGTAATTTGTGTTCTAACTGATCAACCAGAAGTCTTAATTGGACAATTGGAGAGGCTGCTATTGAAAAACTGAAGACAGAGTTTCCCGTTTGTCAAACGTTTTCTGGAATTCTAATTAATTTATTTTTCTTTTATAAATAACTTTTCAATGGTTTTTAGGCCCGTTTGGGCGGAATTTTGGCCGCCTTCCAGCAAAAACTGTTTCTATTAAACATGTTAATGACTAGAAAAATAAAATAAAAAATGTTACGATATTTTCGGTATTTGTATATAAAATATATATATACTTGAAAGCTAATTTGTATATAGAAACACATTAATTTAAATTGTTTGACTATTAAAAATCGCACCTATAAATCTGATATCGAATGGGTAATTAGCGTCCAATAATGTCCAACTAGTACAGAGCCCGTGCGATGCACGGGGTGCACAATTTTAAGGCTATTTATTCAGGCTTATAATTATATACATGAATAAAGAAAATTGTACGGGATATATATAGTACGTGCGAAGCACGAGATATATTTATTTGGAGAATATTATGTTATAAAATGCAATATTCAATAAAAGTTTATAATACGCAAGAAAATTGTACCATGTTCAAATACCCGTGCAAAGCACGAGATATATTTATTTGTTTTATGATTTGATAATATAAACAAATCTATACTTAACTTTGACAAATAAAACAAATAAATACTTTAGTAAGTATTTAATGTATATACTAAATAGGAATATATTTGGTATAATCAAATACCAAATATAATCAAATAAGTCAAAGTGTACATTTTTATTTAGTATTTTATTTTTTTATTATTAAAATCTTTTTATTATACTTACCTTTTTAAAATAAAACAAATAAATAAATCAATTAAATAAATAAAATATTATAATACCAAAATAGTAATAACACTTAATGCAGTTGACTTTTCTGGATAATAAATGTAGTAAATAGAATCTCATTTTATATAAGTATAGATAACTCTACATACACATATGAGCTCAAAAGATATATTGTTGACAGCCAAAAATTAAGTAAATATTGGAATGCAAGCTAGTGTTACACTCAGTTAAAATGGATGAGCAACAATAAATAAATATATATATATATATAAAATAAAAATAAAAACTCATAAAATTGTTTATGTTTATTTTATTGAAGTAAGATGTGGGAGAAGGGAGTATTAAAAGCTAATGGGAATTAAAAATGATAAATAAGAATAAAAAGAAGTAAGTTTATTTATTATATTTTGATGAACTCGAGATTTCATATTTATGCAATTTGGAACCGAATTACACTGCTATGTAAAGAATCGAATTGACCATTATTTGAGATTGCAGATAAGTGGCACACAATAATGTCTTTTATTTTAGAAAATCACCCTAAGTTAAAGAGAAGAGAAACATGCAAGCATTCAATGATTTTTTTTTATTAAGAAATGTAACATTACGTGAACTTGTTACAAGTGCAAACAATGATACTCAATTTTAATCATTTTTCAATCAGTTTTTTC